TTGTTTTTACACTGTACAAAAGATTCGCCAGCATATTTTCAAACCATCCAATACTGTTGGTGTCTCCATATGATTCCAGTTAGTACTTTCAAAAGCAGAAAAACCAGGGCTTTCTCACAAACTCTCTGGGAAAGGTATCACCATAGATAAGCAGAAAGCATCCTGCAGTACATTTTACTGTGCCATCTGGGTAACAGATTTGTATGGGCAGAACTCAGCTAATACAAAATACTACTCCATGGCCAGTTGAACACAGTCGAGTGACCTGAAATTACTTCTGTCTATTAGCCTACATGGATTACAAAGGTTCATTTGTTTTAAAATATTTATATTCCACTTTTCCTAACCAGCCTTCTAATTTTACTGTAGCACACATATCTACAGATAATTGTATAATCCAATATTCCAGTATTCCAGGCTGGATGATTTTATTTAATTAATAAATAAATAATCCTAAAACCAATACAATAAAATAATAATGCAATGACTAATGCTAATATATGCGAACATATAAATAGCTGCTTTATGTCAAGTCAGAGACTCAGTCTCTCCCAATACCATACATTGAAGTGGTTTTCAAACTTTCTGTTGAATCTTTCCCCCCCCCTAAATTTGACTTGTCTGCAGAAAAATCCCTGTGGATTCTTGGAGATCTAGGACACATGTTTAGTTCATCCCAACACACTGATGGGACAGAATATGAGCTTAGCCAATGTTTTCCTGCTCTAGGTATGGCAGACAAGATACATGTCAGAGAAGTTGGTCACCTAGTGTTGCCTGTCTCGTTGACAAATGCAAAGTCACTAAACTCAGCCGGGGGCGGGGGGGGGGAGGACCCAGGGTTTCCTGCCACAGAATTTGACAACCAGCTTCAGGAAGAAGACTTTTACAGCTCTGCTAGATCCTGTAACTGGAAACACGGGGAACTGAACCAGGAATCATCTGTACGCAAAACAAATGTTTCATCATTCAGCTATGATCTGCTGAACTATGACTATGAGAAAGAAGTAAACAGGATGATTCAGATCATGGCCAGTGGCACTTGGGACTTCAGTACATTTTTATACTCAGTCTCGTTGTTCCTGGCGTGACGCCTTTTTTCAGGCTGCCACAGCAATCCAGCAATTACATTGTCCAACACCAGGCACAGATTTCACATAGCTCCCATTGAGTTCAGCAAGGGAATGCTGCAAAGGATCCATGGAAGTGTGTGTGTGTGTGTGTGTGTGTGTGTGTGTGTGTGCGCAAATGTGAACATACAGTGACTCGGGTGGGGTGCTGTGATTGATGGCCCAGAGTCTCTAGAACACCTGTCTTGCCACTTTGTGTTCGTGACAGCATTTCAAGGAACAGAGTTGTCATTCAGAGATGGCTGGGCTGGATTTGAATAAAATCCCCTGCTGCAGGAGCTCAGTTCTGCATCCTTTCTCTCCTTACCATGCCCAGATCATGAACATACAAACGTGACCGGGCAGGTTATAGGATGTAATGTGGTCTTTGCTTAAATCTGTTGCAATGCAAATATAAAACTTATATTGGCCACAAATGACATTTGATTTAACAAATACTTCTCTTCTGCTTTACATCCAACATTTCAAACAATCACGTCTTGGCATAAATAGGGCCTCCATCCTGTATGAGAAACCCAAGCTCTGGAGTTGTGGGTGGTCTTGTCCTGTTTCTTTCAGATCTCCTTTCATTTTATCTAGAGGATGTGCTAGCAAATTGTAATGATTAGCATGAGCTGGGGTCAGTTTTAAAAGTTATGTGGGGGCGGTTTTCGTCACTACCAATTAGCAGCTCTCTGAATGGATCACTCAGCAATCTGAATGGATAGAGATCTCTTTGAATTCACTCATGTCCACTTGGCCTGCTCAGTGCTTCATCCGCCAAGCCCATTTGCGTCACTGAAGCCTTGTCACAACCCATGCTAATCCTAGCTGATATTGCTGGACACAGATATTACACATGGTTTCTGTGCCTTTAATCACTTACCATCTCTCTCTCCCTCTCTCTTTCAAGGGGGTTTGAAGCAGAAGATGGGAGGTGCCTCTTCAGCTACTTTCTAACCAGCACTCCATACCAGCTCAGCCTGGTTAACTTTCACCCCTGCTGGCTTGTGATTTGCTGGGACTCTAGGAGCAGAAGCAGGAAAAGTCTGGTTTGTTGGGAACAAGGCAGTCATATTCACCCACAGTGACATTCCTTGTCGGCTTTTGCCTCCTGTTTGCTTTTACTACTCTGACACTAGCAGCAGCGATACAGCTCCGGCGATTTTAAATCAGCCTTCTGTGTAATGACCAACGAGAACTGGCTACCTAGAAGGTAGCATATCATTCCTGAAGAGTAAAGGGGTGGTCTATGAATAAATGGTAGTGAATGTGGGAAAGAGGACACAGAGAGTAGGAGTGGAGCACGTGGGAGCAGAAAAGGAAGAGTCATTGCATGGCAGCTTCTATGCTTGAAAGGAAGTCAAGCAGAAGAGTGTACATGAGCTTGTGACATGTAAGGGCTTTCTCCCATGTGGTTTTTGGCCCCCTTCTTCATAATATAGCAGTACTCTGATTGTATGTGCAGCATAACATGAGTGCTATGAGCTCACAGATATTGGCTGCAATAAATACCAATGCTCAAGGAAGCCAGTGGGGGTGCCCAGGTTCGAAATCCTACTCTGTCATGAAGCTCACTGGGAGACCTTTGACTAGTCACTGTCTCTCAGCCTAGCCTACCTCACACAGTTGGTATAAAATAAAAGGGAGGATGGGACAACCATGCGTGCCTGAGCTTTTTATAGGGGAGGAGGAGGAGATTGGATTTATACCCTGCCCTTCACTACCTGAAGGAGTCTCAGAGTGGCTGACAATCCCTTTGCCTTCTCCTCCCCACAACAGACACCCTGTGAAGTAGGTGGGGCTGAGAGAGCTCTCTTGAGAACTGCCCTTGAAAGAACAGCTCTGAAAGAACTTGTGACTGACCCAAGGTCACACCAGCAGCTGCATGTGGCGGAGTGGGGAATCAAGCCCAGTTCTCCCAGATTAGAGTCCGTGCTCTTAACTACTCCAAACTGGCTCTATTTGTGTAATTAACAATCAATGTGAGGAAGTGACACATTGCTGGTTTAGGCACTATCATGTGGCCATGGCTAAAATTCATGAAGCCCCAGATCAGATGTCCAAAGAGCCTGAGCTATCATTCTCTGTGTTGTCTACATTACACACTACAGTTTATTTTTTAACAGCAGTTTGTGTTCTGATGCCTTTGACCTTATTCAATGGTTTCTGTATTCAGACTGCCTTTTGGCTAGCATCGGTACAGTAATCAGGGCAATCCAAAACAGAGGTAAGCCGTTCTAAGTCCATTGTAATCAGTGGCCTTAGGAGGGCATGAGTCTGTTTAGGATTGGCCTTATTGTTCAATAATGGGGCTTTGAAGTGTGAAAAGGAGGATGGTCTTCTCCCATATGTTCCAGGAATTAAGAGCACAGGGAAAGGCCCTCCTGACTGTCCCATCAATCAAAGAAGCTTGTTTGGTGCATACATGAGACAGGGCCTTTTCAGTGGCCGCCCCGCAGTTATGGAATAGCTTTCCCAGGGACTTATGCCTGATCCCCTCACTTTAGATCTTTAGGAGGCATTTGAGGACTGCTTTGTTTAGGACTGCATTCGATTGAGTTACTAGCTGTCCAAAACTGTTGTTTTAATTTTTAAATGTATTTTATATATTCTGCTTTATGTCTTTTATATCTATATTGCAAGCTGCCTTGAGCTTCGCAAGGAAGAAAGGCAGCTAATAAACATTTTAAATACAGTTAATTTAAAATAAATAAAGGCGTAATTTGTTGACAGGAATACCTCAGCATCTGAATTCTCAGCAACACTTTCCCACAAACTTTTGTTAGACCACTACCTTACTTTACCTCATAATCTTTCTGATGTAATAACCCCGTGTTTAATTTTTATTTACTTCATGGATACCCTATTTTCTGGCCAGAGAGGGCCCAAAGTGGCTCACAGCATTCTCCCCTTCTCCATTTTATCCTCACAATGACTTTGTGAAGTAGGTTAGGCTGAGTGTACGTGTCTGGTCCAAGGTCACCCAGCAAGCTTCCATAGCAGAGTGGAGATCGGAATCTGGATCTCTTAGATCCTAGTCCAACACTTCAACAAGTAGACTATGTTGTAATGAAGAAGAAGAAGAAATAATAATAATAATAATAATATATGGCTTCTGATCTCTATAATGAAATAGTAGTGCGCACACTGATATATGTGTGTCTATTTTCATAAATATGAAATTGGAATATATTACTTGAGAAAGTTCTGAAGCAACCTGGAGTATAAACAGTCCCCCTCCCACACCTCTCTCACCTTGTCAGCAAAGACAAAGTGGGAAGACAAAAAGTGGGACGGTGCAGAATTACCAGTAGGATCTTATGATGTGACTTCTGTTCAGTCAGTACAAGGAATGCCCACCTACGGTGAGGCTTGAAATGTACAAACAACATCTGGAAAATTGTGAGTGGGAACTATAAGAGAGCTCACTCACATTTTCTGCATGTGCCATTCGTTTAACCTTCAAATCAATGAGGCTCCAGTGGAACATTTATTTGAAGTAGTATATTAACAAATCTGTTTGTTTGTTTTTTGGTTAAGGGTTATCATGCTTTGAGGTGCTTCGAGCAATTCCATTATTCGAGGAGTACCTATTGAAGGGTAGATTGTTGACTTCGTTGATATAAAACTAAACTGTTTTTAATTGTTGAATGTCTATTTTGCTGATCCAGATCTGACTCTAATTTCGTACAAATGAAAATCAATGGTATTTCACTGAATCTAAGCATGAACACCCTGCTTTTGTTCCTTCAGAATGAGATAAAATCTTCCTAATATACAATGAAGATTTGTCTGTGAAGAAATGAAAACATCCATCAATCTGTACTCCCCCCCAACAAGGATTAAAATACATATATCCTTGATTGCTATTTGCTAAGAAACGATTCTTCAAGGACTTGGTAACTCTTCATTCTCTATTAGGTAATCTTTCTTCATATAATTAGCCCCCCTAACCAACCTCCACACTCCAAGATATGCATCCTTTAATGAGCTTTTGGCCAGTCCTTCAGAGCTGGTGCCTTCTGGGACAGTGGGTATATTTGCTGCACCCATAATGCCATTCTTCTCCTTTATGCTTGGCTGACTGCTTTCATTTGCTGATTCCTCTGTTGTATCTCCAGGCTCTGTCTCCTTGGACATCTCCTCCATTACAAATGGTGGCTGAGCTCCATCACATTCTTTCTGCTCCTGCTCCCTAGCTTCCTTCTCCAGATCTTCATAGTTGCTCTGTTTTCTGGTTTCAATATATTTAGCCACACAATAAATGATGGAGCCCATGGTATTTACCACTACACCTGCTATAAACAGTTTTGTGGGCTGTACATCACTGAATGCCACCATACCAACTGTGATGGTTGCGATGCTCTTCAGTACTCCAACAAAACTAGTGGTTACAGCTGAGTTGATGTAGGTACAATGAAGGGTGGTGAAATTCATGGCACAGCCAATAAAGACACATGCAATAAAGATGCATGCCATGGTAGGATCTTTCCATCCTGGGAAGGACCAGACATTGATAGCATCCAGACTGGCAAAAGAGAAGATGATAAGAAAAGGTGTGGCTGACACAGCAATGGCATACTGGGCTGTGAGGGGCCCATAGTCACTATCTGTACTTGCCTTTTGAATGAGTACCAGATACGCAGCATGCACCAACACAGCCAGCACTCCAGTCACATACCCAATGGGATCGCCAGTCAGGTCACCTGCACCTGTCAATATTGGGAGAGAAAGAAACGTGTGTTTGCATGGACTTGACATATTCTTTAATGTTCTCAGATTAATTAGATTAATGAAGGTTAGTTTTATCCGGGACTATTAGCCATGAAAGCTAAAGGGAACTTCTTCTCAGATGGTTAGGACAAAGCAGAGGGAATGGTCATCGTTCCCTGTTTGTGATGTCCAGAGGCACAGGGCTTCCTAACGTTGGAGACAGAATGCTGGGGACTGGCCTTGGAATGAATTAGTACAACCGCTCCTACGTTATCCTGACACAGTTTTAACCTGCCCTTCTTCCAAGAAGCTTATGGCACGGTACATAGTTCTCCTTTCCTATGTTTTATTTGCACAACAACCCGGAGGTAGCTGAGGGAACGTGACCTGCCACAGGACATCCAGGAATTTGTATGGCTAAGTGGAGATTAGAACTCAGGCCTCCCCAGTTCTAGTGCAATATTCTAACCACTATACCACACTGATATGCACATACACTGAACTACAGTATAGGGGTGGAGTTCTTAGAGGAACTTGCCTTACACATCTTGCATTACAGATAATTTGTCCCATCCAAATATGCCTTTGATATATCTGGATCTACAACTAACCCTGGTCTGAACTACCTATATAAACCTCGGCCAAGTTGGTGCCTGCATATAAACAGGTTAACAAAGCCTTGACTGTGATTTTGCTTTAATGCAGTTTAGAAAATACAAAACTCCTCAGTCTCTTCATGGACACAGTCTACCCCACATTCTGGCAGCCAATCTGTTGGAAATGAGGAAGAAAAATCAGTGTAAATTAAAAGTCTGGTAAATAACTGGGAAATCTTGGGTTAATGGGAAAGGCAGTGTAAAAATAAATAGCTTTTTTTTTAAAAGGTTACTAATGATGTTATCAAATAAATAACTTTTTTTTAACAATAACTAACGGTTATTGTTGTGAGACTGGTAAGACATAAAGGAGCCCAGGGAAGGTGAGAGTGTCATCACTTTGGCAAATCAGGACCTGGAATGTTGCCTATTGAAAACTTTTTTTTTACAGAGATGAAGAGAAGAGTCCAGTTCTGCAGGCTCCATCCCTCTTCTCCTAGAGCTGGCAATATGGAGAGTGCCAGAGCAGCTGCATCAGTTGCAAAGAGCCATGCTTTGAAGCTGAGATAGTGGCTGGATGCATTTGCCTTGAATACAAGTGCAAAATTTCATGGGGGGGGGGTTCCTATCACTTTCATACTCTGTCCTCAATTACCTTACTTTTTAGCACGCAGGTACAAACCTTCTCATTTCCTTCGTATTACATTCATTTTATATTAGTCTGAATGGGGAGGGGAAGCTTACGTCTACTCAGCTGGGTTGTTAATCCTGCAGAGCCACCATCAACTTACATTCATTTTGGGGGAAACCAAAGAACAAACAGTGCCTAATGGAACAAGAGCTTTTCCACAGATTTTAAAGTTGCATGTTGGCCACTCTCTTTTGCCCATCTTATTCCCATAGATTCATTTTGTGTTCCACCACGGTTAAGCCTGTTTGGCAGGATTTAGTAACATTTTGGGCTGATCCCAGGAAAAAGCCTATACTAACTCCTATAAACGTCATCAGCACTGCGGCAACCATTAATGTGTACATGGGGGGGGGGATCATGGACACCTAGTAGGATATTGCCCATAACAAGAAAGGTGCATCCCATCTCCAGTACCCAGAGTCCTTTTTTGTGAAAATTAGTGGTATATGATCATCCAGGGCTTCTTCTGTTATGTGCCTTGCCTGTGGAACTCTCCCCCTGCATCTGTTCACCTGGCACCTACTCATTTGAGTTTTAGGTGCCAAGGAAAGAAGGTTTTTTTACAGCCTTCTATCTATATATAGTGTCCGATTTATATAATCTGATGTTTTTTATTTGCCCTCTAGCTTCTTTATCAACAGTCACCCGCTTGGCATTGCTGCTGCTTGAAGTTTGGTTTCTATTTGAATAGCTTGCTGATTTTATTGTAAGTTATTTACTGATTTTATTGTATTTTATTGATTTTTGGGAGCAAACCACCTTGATAACTACATTATGGGACATCATAGACATGTTTCAGATAAATCTATGTATGCACTATTGTAGACTTTGAAAGAAAGAAAAAAGCCATAAAGGAGTTTAATTGTCCGCACCAGAAGATGCCTGGGATCTCTTCTAGTCAATTTTACTCCTCCATTGTCCTGTGTGGTGCTTTGGAGAAATGACTGCAACTGAGAACACTGAGCAAGCAGGTTTTTCTAACAGTGCAAGGTCCTTCCTACCTGTGCTATGAAGGACTATTATCAGGCTATTTATTAGGCTAGTTTATTATATTTATTATAATTATCAGGCTAGCAATGCTGGATCAAGGCTAGTGACCACGGGCAGTAAACAAAGACAGTGGTTCCAGGGGTTCATCTGAATACGGCTGGGATCTCCACACCATACAAACATATTAGCCAAATGTCACCCAGTGTCCTTTCTCAGACAGCTGTCAATGCCTGCATCCTTCCATGAAAATGTAGCAAAATTGGAACAATCCATCTCCAGAGGATACCCTCTTACATTCAAGGAGAAAACTATGCAGTCAATATTTATATAAAGGGGGGGGCGATGTAAAAGTTAAACTTCCTGCTATCTTTGCATCAAATTCTATCCAGATTTCTAACTGGTTTCTGGTATGCATCATCTTCCCACATTCTTCCAAACTAAACAAGAATCCCAAGACAGAAAAGGGAGGGAGATTTTCCCTCCCCTACGCCAAACATATACACGCACACACCCTTCCTTTTGGATAAACAGAACAGACAAAGGCCCTTGGAAGTCCGGTTAATTATTTTGTCTATGCAGTCTGTGAGACAGTTTAATCGTGATCTTTGTCCCTAGCCAGATTCAGCTAAGCCCAGCTCCAATCTCCAACACAGAAGTGAACAGGAGATGAGCATGAGAATCCAAAATTAGTCCTAAATGTACATATATAAACTCTGCCAGTCCTGTCATTTTTAAATAGAATTTCTCCTTTGTCCATTAAGGCCCTGATAATAGACTTAATTACAGTTTAGAGGCAGCAACACTCCCTAGAGGCTCCATATTGTGGATTTTTTCCTGAGTTTTTCTCATCCTTGAATAGCTGATATGTGATAGACAAGGCAGGCAGCTGCAAATAACATCGGGTGGTGGGAAGAAGAGAGATGGGGAATAACCAGCTGAGCCACTTCAGACATGACATTTTCCCCCTGCTACACCAAAATAGTCTCCTTGAAGGAAGAATCATTTACATCCATGTACACTGTCATGACTGAAATACAGGGGGATGTATGTCTGAATGTGATTGCAGGAGTTTAAAAGTTGCTGGTATACACAGGTGCACACATTTTTAGAACAGAGATTCTATTAGAACAGAAAGGTTATATTATGCTGTTACAGGTCAGAGAGGTCTTTGAATGAACTCCTGAGATGACAAGGAAGATAAACAAACTCCACAACCTTTTGGTTCATTGCAAACACGGAAGGGAGGGATGAGTTGATGTGGAGTTTTTAAATATGGCGTGGGCAGGTTAGGGTTAAAATGAGCTAGGACTGCTTCACACATTGTAACGTTTTGGTATTTAGGCCCAATGCACATACCAGACTAATGTGGAGAAGACAAGAATATGTCTACTGATGTAAGAGATATGTATGTGCCGGGGAGTCGGTGCACCGTGCATGGTTGGGGATCCCTGTCTTTAAAGACATGTAGGTGTCCCATAATGTGTGAAATAGTCCTTAGACAAACATCAGTAATGAGTAGATGGTGAAGGACTGAGATCAAGAGATGAAAAATTAGAGTCACAATGATGTGACCATGCCAGAATGTGGGAGAGGAGGTGATGATAGAAAATGGAGCTAAGTACTTAGATGAGTTAGCACTGGCGTTCATAGAAGGGAGGCTGGAGAAACAGGAGTATTGGGATGGGGGCAGTTAATTAAAGTTGGGCTGAAGAGTTTA